TCTATGTCTCTCTCTCCCTCTCTCTGTATCTCTCTCTGTATCTCTCTCTGTATCTCTCTATGTCTCTCTTTCCTCCTCTCTCTCTATCTCTCTATGTCTCTCTCTCTCCCTCTCTCTGTATCTCTCTGTCTCTGCCCTGGCCACTTCTCCATCCCCCGCCGTCGCTCTTACCTTCTCAGGCCAGGTGGGAGTGATGGGGAGAGTAGGGCGAGGGGCGGGGCCAGCCAGTGGTGGGATCACCTGACAGGGAGCCACAGCAGAGGCCTAAAGAGCAACATGCGGCTCTGGAGCTGCAGGTTGCTGACTCCTGCTCTATGCCAACCTATTTGGGCACGTTTTTGAGGCTGGGTGCATGCGTGGAAGACACGCACACCAGCAAAGCGTATGCATGGAAGTCTGGACGCATGTGTGGATAGGGGAAGGCCGGGCACATGTGCGCACTCACATTTGTGAACCGGTAGGGAAAGTAAGTGAATGATAACCCTGGAGATAGATATAGATGATGTAGATAATAGATATAATAATACTGAGGCTAAATCGTAGAATCTAAGCAGAGAGTTTGGATATGGACATATAAATATTAGATAATAGAGAGTAAATCGCAAAGACTAAGCATAGAGACTTAATATAGGTTATAGATATATAAATATATAGATAGATATAAATGATATAGTTATAATAAAACAAAGGGTAAATCACAGTCAAAACAGAGACTTTATATAGCTTTAATAAAAGCTATTTATAGATATATATGTAGATATAAATAGAGATAATAATAAAGAGGGTAAATCCTAGAATCTAGGCAGAGAGATTGGATATGGACATATAAATATTAAATAATACAGAGAGTAAATACAGAGTCTAAGCCAGGGGTCAGCAACCCGCAGCTCTGGAGCCGCATGTGGCTCTTTCATCCCCCTGCTGCAGCTCCTTGTCGCCGGTCGGCTCCACAATTGATAGGGCTTTCGGTTAGAACGGGTAGAGGAAAAAGGATGCCATGCTAGGAGGAGACTCTATGGTGTGGGGGTAACCAGACCTCCAGTCAGCATAAGAAAAAGGATGCCGTACTAGGAGGAGACTCTATGGTGGGGGAACCAGACTTCCGATCGGCTCCAGAATTGAATGGGTGTCTTCCGGTTAAGACCTTTGTGGCTCTTTGAGTGTTTAAGGTTGCTGAACCCTGATCTAAGCATAGAGAGTTGATATAGGTTATATAGATATATAGTTAGAGATATAATAAAACAGAGGGTAAGTCACAATCTAAGCAGAGAGAATTGATACAGCTTATAGATCAGAAGTGGTATTCAGCCGGTTCGTACCAGTTCAGATGAACCGGGAGTGGAAATCGCAGGTGGAAGACTCTATGTTGTCCTATTTAGGCACGTTTTTGAGACCGGGCACATGCGCGGAAGGTGCGCAAGCAAGCAAAGCGCATGTGCGGAAGACCGAAGCATGCGCGGAAGGCACGCAAAGTGATTGTGCGTGCCTGCAGCGAACCGGTGGTAAGAATATTGGAAACCCACCTCTGTTATAGATATACAGTTAGATATAGATGTAGATATAGAGATGTAGATGATATAATATAATAATACAGAAGGTAAATTGTAGAGTCTAAGCAGAGAGATAGGATATGGACCAGTGGTGGGTGGCTCCCGGTTCGGTCCGGTTCGGCCGAGCCAGTAGTGGTGATGATGTAACGTCAGCGAACCGCTTCTCTATGACTGTGGGCTGGGCCCTCCCGCCCGCCCCCGCGTTATACCTACCTTTATTTTTCATTTTTTAGCCCAGCTGATAGAGGCAGCAGAGTGGATTGCTGTGCCTCAGCTGGGCAGAAATCTAATGCGCTTGCGCAGAACGCAAGTTCGGCGCGTATGCGAGCGAAGTGAGCACACGCACGGCGATCGCGTGCAAAGCGCGTGCACGAAGAGAACCGGTGGGAACCCCGGTGGAAACCCACCACTGATATGGATGCATAAATATTAGATAATACAGAGAGTAAGTCACCGCATCCAAGAATAGAGACTTGATATGGGTTATAGATATATAGATATAGATAGAAATGAGCTAAACTCACTTAACAAATGTTTCACTTCGCCACATAAATTTGGGGGCTCAATGGTGGTCCTAACTCGAGGACTACCTGTGTGAAGCCACCAAGCCGTCCTCGATTCTTTTGTATTCTGTCTCGTTCCAAATCGTATTTCCAAAACAAGACGGGGGAAAAAAATGGGAGAGCTCTTTTTTTTCCTCCGCGACTCGATTTCCCGTTTGGCCAGTTCTTGAGGCGATTGACTGGTGATTGAAGGCGGTAAGAGCAAAAACATGTTGACCAAACGAATCAAAGCAGCCCAGGGAGTGTGTCCCCAGTTGCAGGCTAGAGGTGAAAACCGCAACTTTTCTGACATCAGCCCACCTCAAAAAACGAGTTGGACAGGTAAGCAGCCGCAGAGGTGATCTGCCTTTCAACTGGCTCGGAGCTGCATATTCCAGTCATATCTACGGGGGGGGGGGGGGGAGTGCAGGTTTCCAACAAGATAAACAGTCATCGTATTCCAGATAAACTACATGCCATACATTACGTCCCGAAGCAGCATAATTTAAGACAGATTGCTAGCAGGAAGAGTTGTTGTTGTTTTTTTAAAAAAATATAATAATTTTATTTATATATATTTTTTTCTTTAACATCCATAAGTGTTTAGTGGACAGTGTATTATCTGGGTCAATATATTTTGCATACCATTCTGTTTTGTTTTTTTTAAGTTTTTTATTTTTATTTCTCCTAAACACATTTACATGTACTGTCATTTCCATCATTTTTCATTCATCTTTTCTTTTAACTTTCATTTTTCGTTTCTACTTTTTTCCGGACTGTTCTTTTACCCTTTACCTTTACTCCAACCTTTCTTCTTCTCCTCCCCTTCTCTTCCTTCCTCTGCAGACCGTTGCAGCTTCCCAGGGTCATGCGATCCCCTCTGACAAGCAAAGACAATGAGCGAGCCAGATTCGCTTAACGGCCGTGTTCAGTGATGGGATTCAAGTAATTTAACAACTAATTCTCTGCCCTGATGATTTCTTCCAACAACCAGTTTGCCAAACTGCTCAGAAAGTTAACAACCGGTTCTCCCGAAGTGGAGAGTGAAAGATTGAAGGCATTCCCTGAACAGTGGCCAGACGGATTCGTAAAAATAGGGCAAAATTCACGTGTTTCACTTAGCGACTAAAATGTTGCGCTCAATTGGGGTCGTAGGTCGAGGACTACCTATATTTTTATTAGTATTATTTTTGAACCGAATTGACCGAAACTGATGGACATGAATAACAGAAATATCTGGAGAGCCCAAGATTGTCTCATCTCTAGGAGCAGGTTTCAGATAAGATCAGTGGGTCAAAATGTGAACTTCGGGCAAAACTATTGAAGGAAGCAACTCTAGAAATATGCTGGCTGAAAATAGTTCAAATACTTCCGTGGATGTTGTATTTCTTCTGGCTTTATCAGGAAATCGCAAAAGAATATTGTCATCCAAGAATTCCTTGAACAATAAATGCTGGGGGCGTAGGCTATTCATTCTGCCTTTTCGAAGGAAAACCCTGGTCTTTTTTTGACCATATATCTTCAGTAGATTGATGTACAGATGTACAGATTCTACAGAGTAACAGAGTTGGAAGGGACCTTGTAGGTCATCTAGTCCAACCCCCCACCCCCACCAAAGCAGGAGACCCCACGCCATTTCTGAAAGATGGCAGTCCAGTCTCCTCTTGAAAGCTTCCAAGGATGAAGCTCCACAACTTCTGAAGTCAACTTCTGTTCCATTGGTTGATTGCTGTCACTGTCAGAACATTTCTCCTTATTTCCAGAGATTTCCAGAACAATCTCTCCTTGTTCAGTTTAGTTAGATGGATGGATGGAGAGAGAGAGAGAGAGACCAGGAGGGAGGGACAGAGAGAGAGAGGAGAGAAGATAGATAGATAGATAGATAGATAGATAGATAGATAGATAGATAGATAGACAGACAGACCAGGAGGGAGAGACAGAGAGAGAAAGAGAGAGAGAGAGAGGAGAGGAGATAGATAGATAGATGGATGGATGGATGGATGGAGAGAGAGAGAGAGAGAGAGAGAGAGACCAGGAGGGAGGGACAGAGAGAGAGAGGAGAAGATAGATAGATAGATAGATAGATAGATAAATAGATAGATAGATAGATAGATAGATAGATAGATAGATAGATGATAGATAGATAGATAGATAGATAGATATAGAGACCAGGAGGGAGGGACAGAGAGAGAAAGAAAGAGAGAGAGAGAGGAGATAGATAGATAGATAGATAGATAGATAGATAGATAGATAGATAGATAGATGGATGGATGGATGGATGGATGGATGGATGGATGGATGGAGAGAGAGAGAGAGAGACCAGGAGGGAGGGACAGAGAGAGAGAGAGAGGAAGATAGATGGATGGATGGATGGATGGATGGATGGATGGATGGTAGATAGATAGATAGATAGATAGATAGATAGATAGATAGATAGATTTTTTTATTGGCCAAGTGTGGTTGGACACACAAGGAATTTGTCTTGGTGCATATGCTCTCAGTATACATAAAAGAAAAGATACGTTCATCAAGAATCATAAGGTTTCCATCCATTATTCCTTGTCTGGCCTTCAGATGCTTTGGAGAATAGCTTGACCCCTTCCTCTCTGTGGCAGCCCCTCAAATATTGGAAGATGCTATCATGTCTCTCCTGGTCCTTCTCTTCACTAGACTAGCCAGGCCCAGTTCCTGCAACCGTTCATCGTATGTTTTAGCCTCCAGTCCCCTCATCATCCTGGTTGCTCTTCTCTGCACTCTTTCTGGAGTCTCAACATCTTTTTTATAGTGTGGTGACCAAATGTGGATGCCATATTCTATGTGCGGCCTTACTAGGGCTTTATAGAGTGGTATTAGTACCTCCCTTGATCTTGATTTGTCTCCTAACCAGCTTTCATAACTTTCATTTCAGATGCCCGTGAGGTTAAAATCATGGTCCTGGAACTCCCTGTGATTTGTTGGTAAGTAAGGCTAATGGAAAATATTTCCATGACTCCTTCTGTCTCAAGAACATCTTGTAACTTATAACTTATAAACAGTATGCTAAAATGCCTTTTTTCCATCCCTTATAAATGCACGTAGCCCAGTGGTGAAATCCAAATATTTTTACTACCGGTTCTGTGGCCGTGGCTTGGTGGGTGTGGTGGGGCCTGGTGGGTATGACTTGGTGGGCGTGGCAGGGGAAGGATACTGCAAAATCTCCATTTCCACCCCACTCTGGGACCAGCCAGAGGTGGTATTTGCCGGTTCTTGAAACTACTCAAAATTTCCGCTACCGGTTCTCCGAACTGCTCAAAATTTCCGCAACCGGTTCGCCAGAACCTGTTGGAACCTGCTGGATTTCACCCCTGATGTAGCCCTTGATTTACGACCACAATTGCGCCCAAAATTTCCGTTGCTAAGTGTAGACATTTGTCCGGTGACTTTTGCCCGTTGTACGACCTTCCTTGCGTGATCGTGGGGATGCTTCAAAGGTCGTAAGTGTGAAAAATAGTCGTAAGTCACTTTTTTTAATGCCGTTCAAACTTTATCTGTGGTGGTTATTTTCCAGTGTGTATGTGTGAAAGTGTCAAGTATTTGTAAGCCATTGGCACGTGTGTCATATAGACACCAGTGGAGGCGGAGAGTGTCTCCACCCCTGTGTGGAAAGGAGGGCTTACCCTGAATATAAAACCCCATCCAACCTTTTTCACCTTGCTCTCTCTCCATCTCTCTCTTTTCATGTTTGTTCCTCATGAGACTTGATCTCTGTTGTACATAGTAAATATGATTTATCATATGAATAAATACGTTTAAGACATTTATTTATGCATCCGCCTCTGAACTCTTCTATGCTCCTGGGTTTTTCTATGATCCCAATTCCACAGAAAGAGAGGGAGGAGGGAAAGAGAAAAGGAAGGAAGGAGGAAGAGAGAGGGAAAATGTGGGAGGGAGAAAGAGAGGGAGAGAGAGGGAAAGAGAGAAGGAAGGAGGAAGAGAGAGGGAAAATGTGGGAGGGAGAAAGAGAGAGAGAGGAGGGAAAGAGAGAAGGAAGGAAGAGGAAGAGGGAGGGAAAATGTGGGAGGGAGAAAGAGAGGAGAGAGAGGGAAAGAGAGAAGGAAGGAGGAAGAGAGAGGGAAAATGTGGGAGGGAGAAAGAGAGAGAGAGAGGGAAAGAGAGAAGGAAGGAAGGAGGAAGAGAGAGGGAAAATGTGGGAGGGAAAAGAGGGAGAGAGGGAAAGAGAGAAGGAAGGAAGGAGGAAGAGAGAGGGAAAATGTGGAGGGAGAAAGAGGAGAGAGAGGGAAAGAGAGAAGGAAGGAGGAAGAGAGAGGGAAAATGTGGGAGGGAGAAAGAGAGGGAGAGAGAGGGAAAGAGAGAAGGAGGAAGAGGAAGAGAGAGGAAAATGTGGGAGGGAGAAAGAGAGGGAGAGAGAGAGAGGGAAAGAGAAAGAGAAGGAGGGAGAAGGAGAGAGAGATAAGGAGGGTGGGAGGAAGACAAAGGGGGGGGAAAGAGAGACAGAAAGACAGAGAGATCAAACTCTAACATCAACTTCTGGTAAAGGAGAATATTTGTAGCTCAGGATTGACATGAGGCGTCCTTCGTGCTCTCTGAGCTTGGTTCTTTTCTTACAGAAGTTTCTCTACACAAACTAGTCAGGACTAGCACTAACACAGGGGACATGGTGGCTCAGCGGCTAAGAGGCTGAGCTTGTCAATCGAAAGGTCGGCAGTTCAGCAGTTCGAATCCCTAGTGCCGCGTAACGGGGTGAGCTCCCGTTCCTTGTCCCAGCTTCTGCCAACCTAGCAGTTCGAAAGCACGTAAAAAAATGCATGTAGAAAAATAGGGACCGCCTTTGGTGGGAAGGGAACAGCGTTCCGTGCACCTTGGCGTTGAGTCATGCCGGCCACAGGACCACGGAGACGTCTTCGGACAGCGCTGGCTCTTCGGCTTTGAAACGGAGGAGCACCGCCCCCTAGAGTCGGGAACGACTAGCACATACGTGCGAGGGAAACCTTTACCTTTAGCACTGAGCATGTTACCTAGTTTGGTTAATGAAACGCCTGCAAGCAACAGGTATAGGCAGTACAAGGCAGCGAGCCATGTGCAGATCTGTACTTTGGGGAAACAAAACAGCCACTTCATAAACTTCCTCATCCTCCAGACCCATTCCCTTTTAGCACTGATGATGTTACTTAGTTGGGTCATAAAACGTCTGCAAGAAAAGCACCAAGCTCAGAGAGCATCAAAAACCCCATAATCATTCTCCTCTTCCTCTTCCTCCTCCTCCTCTTCCTCTTCCTCCTCCTCCTCTTCCTCCAATCCCCCTCCTTTTAGCAATGATGATGTTACCTAGTTGGGGAATGAAACATCTACAAGGGAACCACCAAGCTCAGAGACCACCAAGGACCTCCCAGTCCTCTTCCTCCTCCTCCCTTCTAGCACTGATGACGTTTTACGGATTTTCTTGCTACAGTTGTTAAGTGGATCGTGGCAGGTGTTCAGTTAATAACGTGGTCGTTAAATGAATCTGGCGTCCCCATGGACTGTGCTTCTCAGAAGGTTGCAAAAGGGGATCCCACGACTCCGGGGCACCTGCCTCCGTCATAAGTATGAGTCAGTTGCCAACTGTCTTGAGTTTGGATCCCGTGACCACGGGGAGGCTGCCACGGTCCTAAGTGTGAAAAAAATGGTCATAAGTCACTTTTTTTCTCCCCCTGTGGTGTTGTAACTTTTGAGCGGTCGCTAAATCAACTGTTGTTGTAAGTCGAGGACTAGCTGCCTTTAACTTTTTTTTTTTTTTTTTTTAAATTCTGCTGGGTTAAGGGAAGCCATTTTCACTTGAGCGTTTCTTCTGTCTGGCCTTTTCTGTCCTCCCTGATTTCTGATCGGTTACGTGGCTTAGATTTTTCACAGCATTTGGGACCCAGAAGCCACAGCTCTTGAAAGAGTGGATGATGGATTTTCTCAATTTCTCTGCTGTAGCATAACTTCTCAATGTTTGCAATGTCTCCTGTCTGGATTTGGTTCTCTGCTCCTGTCTCACTTCTCGGTAGAGCTTCGCAGGTCGTTTCAACTCCCATTTGGCAGGGAAACAAGCCGCTAGTTAATATTTAACGAAGGAAATACTTTCTGTTTCTACTACTATCCTGTTTGGTAGAGGAGGAAAACGACTTCTCTGTTTATCTACTGGTTTAACCTTGCTATGCCTTCGATAGGAAAGAATGAGAGAATGAGAGAGTGAGAGACAGAAGGAAAGAAGGGAGGGAGCAAAAGAGAGAGAGAAAGAGAGAGAGAGAGAGAGAGAAAGAAAGAAAGAAAGAAAGAAAGAAAGAAAGAAAGAAAGAAAGA